GATTAAAAAAAACAGTAATCTAAAAGCGAAGTCTGTAAGTGGGCATTTTTTCAGAGGTGGCTTTTGTCACTTGCCTGAAATATACCTCATGAGGACCTTCCTGTCCCTAAAACTTTTTATATTAACAATCTTTCTGTAAAAGGAGACGTCAAGCCATGGCTTTTAATTCTTTTCATTATCTCCGACCGAGATAAATTCATTTCATAAATATTCCTTTCTTGAAATAGTCAAAATCAAAATAAAAGGCTAAGAAAATTGAGAAAGTGTTAACATTCACAGCATAAAAGCCCATACAAATTGGCATATGAAACATTAAACAATGGAAAAAGTAATGGAATCAAGTGAGCAGACAATGCACAAAATAAATATAAGCATAAACAAACTTAAGACAAAATGTCCATATTCACTAATATGCAAACAAATGAGAACAAGTTATAAAATGCATCCTATAAAATTTGAAAGTTTTCATTAAAAAAACAAGCAAAACATTCCCAGTCTTGATATAGTAAACCCTGAGACTGTCACCTATGGCCCCCACTGAACTGACAAGCCAAATTAAGACCGTGCCATCTTGAACATTCTCAACTAGGAAGCTACACTACAAACAGTGGAGCTGTATGCTACCAAAGAGTCAGTCATGTTTGTTCCAAAATCTGTCAATGCCAGTTCTTATGCCTGCAAGCAACTGGAATTATTAATGTTTAAAGATAATCATTTCTATGAAAACTAAGTTGAATGTTTTGGAAGTACTGGCTATAAATGCATATTGCATTATTGTAAAAGCAGGCATTGGCAAGAAAATAGTAAAAGATTGATAGAAAACAAAAATTCAAGAAGGATTTCTGCACTCAGATTGCTTCACAAATATCTTTATGTTCTTGTTCTACTTCAAAGAAATTCAAACTGAAAAGAATAGCCTATGTGCTATACGTGCTTTAATCAAGATAGAATGGGCTGGACCTACACTGAAACTAAAGGTCAGGCCAAATCAAAAGACTGGCCTCTGGTAGGAAATTTTAATGTTCTACCTTGTAAGATATTATAGAAAATATTTAACTGTTGAAAATTAATAAACCACACTCATATGCGGAATACTAAAAAAAAAAAAGTTGTAGAGAGTAGAATAATGGTTACCAGAGGTTGGGAGGGGAGGGAAGTGGAGGGGAGAAGTGGTGGATTATCAGGTACAAAACTATGCTGTCTACCCTAAGTGAATGACTGTGCAGTGTATGCATGTATTGAAACAACACACTGTACCCCACAAAAATAAATATAAATAAAACTGAAAAAAAAAGAAAATTAATATACCAAATATTAGTTTGGATTCTCTTGAATCAAGGGGCTTTATTTCAGTAAACACTGGTAATGTGAAAACAAAATACTAGCCCATCTTAGATCAATATAAAAGGAGAAGTGTTATTTCCATTTGCAGGGCATCTGCTTTAATTAAAAAGAAAACAAGGAACAAATTATCTGGTCATAAAGCTGTCTTCTGAGGTCTGAGGTTTCCTGAGGTGTGATGTCTTTAATTGCCTTTTTATTTCGCTGATTCAAGATGATATGGGGTACGGAATATTTATGACCAAGGCCATTTTAACTACATTAACATCAGAGTTAGTATATCAAGAGATCTTAAAAACCTATGACCACAGAACTGTACTTCTGAGAATCAACAGTAATCAAATACTGAATAATCCATACTGAATTTCAATGAAATACTGCATAATCCTCACATTGTGATCATAATCTTACTGCTTATTTCACCAAGGAATCAGAAACAGTTGAAAAAGAAAAGTATGTAATCACGCCTTCCCCACACTATCCAGTCAACCTGTGTCTGAATCCTCATCAGAAGCATGATTTTCCTCCATAAATTGGTTCCACTCTTTCCTATCTACTGAAGGCTACTGCTTATAAAACTATCTTCTCTCTCCACTTCATCAATTTTACTCCTTTGAAATTATTCCTTCAGCCTTTAAACATGTTCTAATACCTCACATCTTAAAATACATTCCCTGTACTGTGTCTGCTTCCCTTTTATGGCAAAATTCCTCCAAAAAACTGTTTATACCTATTTTCACCATTGCCTCATCTATTTTCTTCTTCTTTTATCTCCCAATAACTCCAAAAGAAATCTATTCTAACACACACAAAAGTAGACAGAACAATATCAGCACCGATAACCATCAACCCACGATCAATCCTGGCCTGTGCACACCCCAATCCACTTTCCTCACATTATTTGAAGCAAATCCCAGATATACAATTTCATTTGTACTTATTTCAGTATTTATATCGAAAAGGAATTTTTAACATAACCACAA